AATTCAACTCCAACTAGGTTAATGTGCAAGTTAGATCCTGCTGCTGTTCCACAACCACAATAGTTATAATGGTCAATGTCATACTTCTCCCCCTTGTTGTATACGGTTCCTATCAAAGTTACACTCGGGCGAACGCCAGACAATAAACTTACTAATTATGTTTGATATATAATACTTTTAGAGAGATCTATGCGATTGTTTGCACGATTTTTGTTTCTGTTCAGGCTAGCTATATACATGGGCATTTAATGTTAATTTAGTTAACTTTGCTAATATAGTTAAATAAAACGAACACTAACGATTCTCCATTAATAGATGTGCATTTGTGATACAGTAGATAGCAAGATAACAAGACTCTCATAGGGATTATAAAAATAAAATAAGACTTTTTTTTATCAAGGTTGACATCTTATCGAAGTTTACAATAACATGTGTTTAGGGGAAAATAATTTCAAGGGGATTTTAAAATGACCCTTGTTATCAAGGGTGTCTTGTTGGCTGTACCGAAACTGCCACGACGTTTTATGATCATAATCCATACCGAAACTGCCACGCCAATTAGTGAGGATTATAAGGGTGTTTTTGAGAGGAGTAGAAACACTGAAACTGCCACGACGGATTCCTCAGGAAGGGGAGGTTGGTTTGGCAACGTGCAGGGAGAAACGGGAATGAGAATATCCCTCACTCATCACAGTGACGATTTTGAAACACAACACTTTACTTTGCTCATAACTTAGTTAAATGCTTTTCATGTCGCTACTTAAAAGAGGCCATACTAACTTTGTATTTATTTAAATCAAGTACCAATAGAAAAAGTCATTTAACTACCGATGAAGTCAGAAATAATTAAATAATATGTTCTAAAGGATTAAGATTGCAATGGAATGTAAAATGTTTCTTACTAAATGTATTATATGAATGCTCTTAACCCGTTATAGTGAATTACTGGCGTCAAAGAACTCGATCAACACATATTTTATCATTAGATTTGAAGTTAAGTTTATAAATACTGTATACCAAGGTGTAGGTAGGCATTGTCAAAATTGCACAACAAGAAACATAATCTAATGCAAATAATAGCACAGCAGGATACGTGTCCTGAAGTATAAATAAAACACAATTGTGATAAATATGTTGATAATATTTGGCGAATTTATTGATATCATCCTATACTATTAATATTTTTCAAAAAAACCTTTTTTAACCTCGCCGTAGCAGTAAAACATAGGTATTTGCTAAATCTAATGTTATTTAAATGGGGAATAAATATGTCTTGTTTATGGCAAATTTTAGTAAGAATCCAATCAAACAAATAGAAATTCACTTAGTGTGCAGGTTTGCTGCGGTGGAGGTAATGTATTTAGAAATGAGCTGGGAATACCATGAAAACATGTTTTTCAGCAATGAGTTGGAAATACTGCGCGCACTGCGTTCCAATTGTCTTAGGAATTGGCGTCGAAGTATGATATCCTTTGTGATGACTGGAATACACAGAATTGAGTTAGAGTCTGTCCAGATTTTGTTTAGTACGAAATACAAATAAAATACAAGACTAGGCCAAGAAATATACAGATACAATTATACTTGTATACATAAGGCGAATAATTAATGTGCAGGTTTACATTAATAATACCAGATAAAACCTTCATAATTGGTAAGTATACATTTTAGATACGGTTGATAAAAAATAAATCTTAATTAGCCTAGGCTACTTGTAGTGATAATTCAGGGTCACCTAATTCTGCCCGTGTCGTAACACTTCGGCCCAAGTAACACTTCGGGCCAGTAACATTTCGGCCCGAAACCCTCAGATGTGGCCTACGGTCCAACTCTCTACCTGCCCATTAGTAACACTTTGTCCCAACAAAATATTTGACAGGTTAGGTTAGGTTAGGTTAGGTTAGGTAAGATTCCACCGATTCTCCGTCATGTGAGGTCAGAGGATGCAAGGGGTGACGGTTGGGCAACATTCCACCAGAGGGTGGTTGCAAAGTATATAGGTCATGTATCTCTTACTACCTGAACTGCGTTCCTCAACCCTTGTCAATTTTTCGTCGGGCCGAATAGCTTATTTAATCATCTGTAAAAGCGAGTGGGACGAAGTGATACTGTTTTTCTAAGAAATTTGAGTTTGGCCGAAATGTTACTGGGCCGAAGTGTTACTACATCATTCTGCCAACCTAGAAACCGGGAATAGCACGTGAATTTTAACTATCAGGAAAAAGTCCATGAGTTGTAATTGAATTTAGTAAGAAACCGGGAAATAAAAATGATCAAATATTTGCCGTAAAATCCACCCGAAAACACAGAGTTTACACGTTTTGCGTAACCGAAAAACGCCATTGCGAGAAACTACTGTAGAAATGACCACGGACATTGCCGTAATATCGATAAATCATCACACACTTAGCCGCAAGTGCAAGATAATCATTAATTTTTCGTTGATCGCGAAAAATAGTTACGGGTGTTAAAATAATCGCTGGAGATGAATACGAATGTTGCCGCAATTGTGAAATCATCACCGGTCATCATCATTGCGGTCGTAGTTTACCATCACATTTATTTCTGCGTTTGATCGCGAGAAATTATCACGGATCTGGCCACGATCGTAACATACGATCACGGATGTTCGTTAAAGTTTCTTACGACGATTTTCCATTTTTAGGCGTTTCCGTGATCGCAAGTAATAATCTCGGTCGTTTCTATGATCACAGAAAATTGTCGCGGATGTTACGCCTGGTGGGAAATCAACACGAATTTGCTTCCAATTTTCTCATGTTCAATTAGAATGAAATGAGACTCGGTGTATGTTTTTGCATATTTATTTAGTAATATACCTCAATTATAAATTTTGTTTATTCACATATACAGGGCTGGGCAAAAGTATGGACATCACCAGTTAACTTTTTAATGGGTTACGCCAAAAAAACAAAACTCTGTACACGTCTCTATGGCACGCAAGTGAACTTTTTGTTGTATTCAAATTTTGTTCTTAAACCCAAAATGGGTTATTTTGGTGACCCCATCGAATGACACCTCATATTAATAGGCCAAGAATAGTCGAAGAAATATATATCGAAGAAAGAATATCGACAAAAGCTAGAGGTCTCTATCTAAAACCAACCCACTACAGAGACTGAAGAATGGTTGCCATTTATATTTTTCACCCTGAGAGACCCCAAGTAAAAATATACATCAATATCCCTTGTTAACAATTTTATGAGTTGCAGCATGATAAAAACTGTTCATTTTTATATACGCGTTAAAATCGTTTCAGTTACTGTTACTCGTTGTTACATACATGTATAATCTGTGAAGCATTTTGCTCGACATCCTCCCCGATGTTTTCTCTAGCAAAACCACTTATTAACACTACACTTTGTATAACAAAACGGTAGCCGTCTACTAACATAACGCCGCACCCCTTCTCTTCGTTTCAAATATCTTATCCTCCATCAAAAGACTCAACTAACAACTAACACACCAAATCCCTTAGGTACTACTAACTCCCTGAAGGATGGCACAAAACTGTTGAGAAATGCCGAATTTGAAAAATATTACATGAGTCAAGCTAATAGGAGGGCATTCCACTGAGATTCCACGTGAACGCCCCTCCGCAGACCATGGAGGTTGGTTACAGTATTTGTAGTTCTGCAACCTAGCGTCTTGGGCGAATAAAACTATTTTTGAATATTACAGTTTTACAGTATTATATTAGTTTTTGATCAACTCTAGTGTAATTAAAAGCGTCGAACAGATCATATAAAATGCAGTGTTATAAAAGTGGTAAATGAACATAATACTTGTTTCTTAGTGGTAAATAATTATTCATTAAAGTAAATATATTCTCAAGAGACGGAATAAATACTTATAAAGTAAATACTACAGTCGCAACACCAAAAACTTAAATTAACATAAAAATAACTCCTAAAATATAAATACGAAAGGGCAAATCAATCACTTATTTTTCCAATGAACGTATTATTGTGAAAGAAATTAAAAGGTTAAGACAGGAATGGGAATTTTAAGTCTCCCGTTTCTCCCCGTCTATCTGGGGAATCCGCCGTGGCAGTTTCAGTGTTTCTAGCCCTCTCAAAAACACCCTTATAATCCTCACTAATTACCGTGGCAGTTTCAGTATGGAGCATGATCGTAAAACGTCGTGGCAGTTTCGGTGTCCCCGTCTTGTTATCGAGGTTCTACTGTATTGGGATCACATATTCGTTATTGATCACGTTTGGGTTGACGAAGAGAGAGTCGAAACACCTAAACTATGTTTTAGCGAGTACTAACCTATATATGGTTGTGTCTGTGCATGTTTAAAGGAAAAATGACGTGTTGTCATCGAAAGAAGTGTAAAAATTTACAACTTTCAAAACGTATGCAGTAGTTATATAAATAGAGTAAAATACCAATATTTAACAACATAATCTTCCAAAAAAATCATTGGATGGTGTCATGCATTGTTGATGAATTGTGTAGTAATAATGTTACAGTACCTCTAAATTTCTACATTGTATATTTACTATCTAGAACCTATTCCAATGATGCACCTTCTGTACAGTAAATGATTGCGGGCGGGCATTAATTGCGCCAACTGATCTGAGTCAGGTAGTCTGGTATTCCTAAATTGCGCCAACTACTCCAGGGTAGCCTCCCGATACGTTCCTTAACCAAGCCAAGTGGACTTGTATAATTGAGCTTCTATGACTGTATAATTGAGTAGGTTTGGTTAGGTTGGATTATGTTAGGTTAGGATAGGTTAGGTTAGGATATGTTAGGTTAGGTTAGGATAGGTTAGGTTAGGTTAGATTAGGATAGGTTAAGTTAGGTTGACACGTAAACAAGGACATTCGTTCTGCCGGCTACTCACCCCTACCTGGCTTGGGGTTGACGCAACTAAGGAACATTTTTGGACTCTTTGAGGAATTGGCGCAATTAAGGAACTCTTGGCGCAATCAATGCTCGACCAATGATTGCACTGTACGTGGTCCACTCACCCGCGAAGCTGCGTATCCCGAGACAGTTGGACGGGTGTAGCTGTCGCATGAGGAACTTGCAGCACGCTTCACGAACAGAGCCTATCTGAAGTAGACTGGAGGCAGGCAGCAGCACCTGCAACACAGGCATAACTCCGAAACTGCACAACTCCGACAACGTGATCAGTCAAATACTTAGCTAATGCATTTGGCTGCATAAAGGTTGTTCATAGCCTTAGAGATGTCCAGACAATTATAGCTAAGGCAGGCATCACAGGTGTAAGGCAAAGCTCCGAATATATAATTTGAATGAACCATCCAACGGAAAATAAGAAATTTGTACATCAAGCTTTTCAATAAGGCACAACAATCTTTGTTACTCAAAGTATAACAATACGTAGCCGTAGCCTATACTTCTGAAAAAGCGATCATCCATCCCTGGAACAATATGTTTGCAGGGAACGATTATAAGTAGAACATTTTTCGCTGCTAATTTTTTAATTTTTAAAAACTTTCCTTCAATCTTCAACAAATCATAAAACCCACAAAATTCAAAGCTCGAGACAAATCACATTCAGAGTCAATACATACGTGTAGGGGTACAGATTTAAAGGTTGCTTGACAGATTATATAGAAGAACATAGGGGTTGAGATAGAACTGAACCACTGGTGAATATTGTTAGAAGGTTCATGGAGCGGGAGCGTTATCATAGCGCGAGCGTGGTGCTAACAGCGTTATGCCCAAGTGATTAACTGTTAACCCTTTAATAAACGATACGCTATTACGTAGCTTACACATCTATGAAAGAAGGGGAAAGTGATTCAGTAGTTAAGTAGTTGTACAACCGGGCAGAGGAAGATTACCATAAACTTACTTTTAACCTTTTATTGGAACTATTACCTTTCATTTGAGCAGATACGAGATTATCAAACACGAGTTGTTTCATTCATTAGAAATATAAACGATTGTACTGAGGGTATAAAACAAGAATTTTATAATGTACGTTTTCAGTTGCGATTAATATCTCGTCCAAAGTTTAAAGAACAAAACGTGAACGTTTCATTATATGGAGGAGGCGAGAATTACTATTGGAGGTCCTTCGTTATGTGAGAGACAGACTTTAATCAAAAGCAGAAAAACCTGGATTCTCTCTCCTCTCACAAACACAAACAATCTCCCCGGCGTCGCCGCGACTAGCGTCAGATTGAAAACTGACAAAAACAGTGCAGTAAGCCTTAATCAAGATCTGAATCACGATGTTTTTGTTGGCTTGACAATCAGAAGTAGTTATATAAACGTGGGTGACATATTCTTTCATAAGATGGTGTTGCAATGTGTATTCAATCCCCATGCATAAAAGTACATATTTAATGAGTTTAGAAAATTAATCTCTCCCAGACTAAAAGCAAAAATTCAATTATATTGGGTCAATTCTATTGTCTTAAAAGTTTCTAATTCGTAATACATCTTTATCAAAACTAAGGCTACACATGTAATCAGTACCTAGTAGCTCAGTGTATCCTAACCATACAATTTATTATAAACATTCATATAAAAAAATACCGAATAAAGATATTCTTGTTTACCTAATAGTGTAAAAGATTCACTAGACAGTAGAAACATGGGTGTGAGATCTCATTCGCGGACCAAGCAGCAGAAATGGGCTTCAGAGCAGGAGCATAGAAAAATAAAAATACTGTTTCTCCTGATTGTGGTGCACGCAAGGACAACTCATAAGAATCAAGGGGCTTCGTGAGAGCACAAGCATTGACTACGCATCCAAAGCATCGGCATGTGAGAACGAGCAAGGAGTGTGCATCAGAAACATTTGTGTAATAGCACGAGCATGGACGAAGCGTCGGGAACATGGGTGTGAACGCATGAGCTTGGATAACATTAGGGACATGGGCGTTGGAGCCCGAGCCTGGACAACGCAGTATGCGCATAGACCACGCATCAGAACAAGGGTGTGAGAGCATGAGCGTGGCGTGAGAGAGTGGATCTATGCGTGCCCACAGAGGCGTGTCGGTCAGCGAACTGTCCACTTCCCTACTGTTACTGCCTCTTTGCAACCATTTCCTCATTTGCGGCTCATACTATTGTCTCTCTCTGATGTCACCAGATATTTGGTCAAATTGGGTGGAACTAACGTCCTGATGGACTGGAATTTACCAAAACGATGACGAAATGTCTACTTTTAGACATTGAAACACTGCGTTCAGTATAAGAATAAATTATACTAGACATTATGAAATCTGAGAAAGAGGTTAATCAACTTAGGACGATCCTTGGGGCAACAAATGTTCAGAATAACTTGAGGTTGTACAAATGGTCAATGGGTTTATTTAAGTGGACTTGAAAGTATCTCTCATAAACGCCGAAATTGAAAGATTCGTCATTAGTTCTCCTTCATTAAAACTTCTTCCTCTTCATGAACTGCCTCGACATCTTTATACTCGCCATGGTCTTCATTTTAACAGAAAGGGCAAGGAACAAATCTCTCGAGACATTTCTAAATTAATAGCTTCAGAAACCAGCCAAACCAAAGTTATTCACAATAAACCTACCTGCCTCAGTACACCGCACCAACATCCACAATTCACCGAGCAAGGGATTTCTGTCGTTGAGGCAAACATGTGGGACGTAATAGAGGAACATAAGACCGACACATCTGTAGGATTCGCACATACGGTATCTAAAGACTTCCACATGTCCGCTGGAGTGGCTGTGGTCTTCAGGAAAAAATTCAACCGACCTGTGGCATCTGACTACGTAGACACAAAGTTGACCTGTCAGAATGCACATGACGGAGCCACGGTATACAGCCTCGTTACAAAGGATGTGTACTGGGGGAAACCTACAGAGGAAGACTATGACTCTGCATTTGAACAGCTGGCGAAAGACTTCAAATCGAGGGGGCTGAAAACATTATTTTGCTCTGCAATGGGGTGCGTCAGAGATCTGGTGAGGCCCCTGCACTTTATAAAGAAGATATCTCAGTTTCAAAAGGCAACTGGTGCGTCTGTGAAGATCATAACGTACAACCAGAAGGCACAAAGAACACTTTGGATGGGACTCTCTCATGACAGTTTCGTGGACACGTTGAGGAGGCTGATCATCTCACAGGAGCAGATCCAGCCAACAGGAGAAAACATCTTGCACTCCGCTGCAAGACCTCCATGTCCAACAACATCTTCAGCGTCTGAGTCGCCATCACCATCGAGTGTCTTGTGTTGTGATAAAAGTCAGTCTGGTGTAAGTGCGGGTGCTCAACTAGATCCTCCCTCTTCCCCTCAGCCTCTACCCGAATCACCTCTAAGCGTCTCCACACCTATTCCATCCCCCGCTTTAAACTACAACCAAGCTCTTCTGGATCCGAAATCGTAAATTTAAATTTTATATGTAATGGAAACAATTTCAATCCCCAAGGTATTAATAAACAAATACAGCCCTGTACAGTTGATGATAAACAAGTAAAGACCTTTAACCAACAATTAGTCTCCACGTCTTCCCAACGGTCACTTGCTAAGCATAGTCAATCAAAATTTTCTATATTTCACCAAAATGTACAGCACTTACCATCTAGACTAGAAATTTTAAAAATCCATCTTTTCGAAATTGAACCTCAAATCGTAGCACTTTCAGAACACAAAATGTCGGAATCTGAAATTAAATTACTAAACTTTAATGGTTATAAATTATGTTCCTATTATGCAAGAAATGATTCAATGGGAGGTGGAGTTATGATTCTTTCTCAAGAAAATGTCAAATGTAAAAGGCTGTTAGTTCCCTCAATAGAAAACCTATTAGAAGAAAAGATTTTCGAATGTTGTCTAGTTGAGATTAGTGTAAATAATTTTTCTTTTGTTTTAGGTTGTATCTACAGGTCACCCATACCTAGTTTATTTGATAATTTTTTATGTAAATTTGATGTCTTTTGTAACATATTGTGTGATAGATATAAACGTGTAATCATCACTGGGGATCTAAATATTAATGTTTTAAAGAAAGATAGAATGTATTATGATTTTGTTAATGTTTTGAATATGTATGATCTAGTGTATAAAGTAGATTTTTCAACAAGAGTTACTGCAGAATCACAAACTGCAATTGACAATGTTTTAACAAATATTCCAGATGAAATCTGCCAAATATCAGGTATCATAACCCATATATCAGACCATGATGCACAGTTATTTGATCTATATGGCTTGACAAACAAAGAACCTATTTCAAAAAGATTAGTGCGCAAATTTACAACAAATAATATTGCTACATTTTTTGAAAGTTTAAAACGGGAGTCTTTTCTGCAGGTTTATCAATCACCAGTAGAGGCAAAGTATGATGTTTTTCTAGAAATATATTTGTACAATTTTGACAACTGTTTCCCTAAAATAATGGATAAGATAAAAAAAGATAAAAGTAATCAATGGATAACCGATGAGATCGTTCATAAGAAAAATGAAATTATTAAATTGGAAAAAAGCTTTAGGTTAAGTAAAAATGAAAATACTAAGGTACGAGTTAAAGATTTAAAATTGAAGTTGCTAATGCTTTTAACCAATTTTTTGTCTCTGTAGTTGAAGATTCAGTTTTGCCTAAGATTCCTCAAAGTACAGAATCTACACAACTAAATAAAAATTCCGATAAACCGCGTTTTAAATTTCATCCAGTGACGGAACAAGACGTAAAGAAAATAATTATTTCTTTTGAAAATAAATTTTCAACAGGATATGACGAAATTTCCATTGATATCATAAAAAAAAACTCTTCCTAGTATTTTAAAACCACTTGTACATTTAATAAATTCCTCTTTAATATCAAGTATTTTTCCAAATAAACTAAAGATTGCAAGGGTTATACCAATTTTTAAGAAAGGTGACTTAAATGACCCATCGTGTTATCGTCCGGTATCGCTTCTCCCAATTTTTTCTAAAATATACGAGAAAGTAGTTTACTCTCAATTAGCAGATTATTTAACCATAAACAATTTGTTGGACAAAGAGCAGCACGGTTTCCAAAAAGGAAAATCCACCATATCAGCTGGGATAGAATTCATTCAGTCAATAATAGATTCAGTAGATAAAGGGCAAAAAGTGGTTGGTATATTTCTTGACTTGACTAGGGCTTTTGACAGTGTGTCACACAAAAAACTCTTAATTGCATTGCAAAATTTAGGAATTACTGGCAAAGAGTCTAAATGGTTTGAATCATATTTGGGAAATCGGGAGCAATTTGTAGAAATTGAGCACACTATTAACTTCAACAATTCAAAAAATCACTATAACTATATCCGGAAGTTTAACTCTCAAAATTTAAAAATTAAACACGGAGTACCACAGGGGTCAATTTTAGGACCTTTATTGTTTCTTTGTTACATAAAAGGGCTACCTGACTTACTACCCGTAAACAGTAACGTATGTTTATATGCCGATGACTCTAATATCACTGTGACAGGGAATTCCAAGGAGAGTACTGAAGTTGCATCATTTATCAGTCTCTCAATTATTAAAAATTTCCTTGATGGTAAAAACCTTCTTCTTAATTCAAGTAAATCCACTTTCATATCTTTTTGTACGAAACAAGCGAGGGTCAAACTAAAACCAGAAATCTATTTAGATGACAATCAATTAGACCAAGTAGAAGTTACAAAATTTCTGGGACTCTTCATTGATGCTAATCTGAGCTGGGACGATCATACAAAACATGTTGTTAACAAAATGTCAACAGGTTTGTCTGCCTTGAGACAAATGGCTAAATTTTGTAAATTAGAAACATTAAAAACAGTTTATTATTCTTTAATTCATTCTCACCTGTCCTACGGAATAAGCATTTACGGAGCAACAACGCAGAAAAATTTAGATAAAATCTTGCGGAAACAAAAAAATGCGTTAAGAATTATGTTTAAGTTGAAAAGGGGTAAATCTGTTAAACATTTATTTACTTCCACAAAATCCTAACGGTTTATGCTCTCTACATTTTAGAGACTGTAATGTATGTGAAACAACTTGAAAATCTAAATTTTGTAAACAACGTTCACCCGTACAACACCAGATTAAATAGACCGGTAGAACCACATAATTTAGAATTTTTCAAAAAGAAAACGAAATATATGGGAACAAAATTTTTGTTTCATTTACCAAGGTAATTTCTTGGTGAACAAAACTTAAGTAAATGCAAGAATGACTTAAAGGAATATTTGGTAAAATTAGCCCCATACTCTTTAACCAATTTTTTCGAAAACCACAGAGTTTAGAGTAATTGATGAGTAACAAATCAAATCAATAATTGATAAGAAAATGAACCTTCCATACACATTAATTAATTTACTTTTAATTTAGACGAAATTAGTGTAACTGTTTTTATATATAGGATTATTGTCATTACTATTTCTTTTTGTAAACATTGACACTATTTGTTGTACCTTTGTGCAAATTTATGAATAAAGAATGTTTGAATTGAATTGAATTGAAAAAAGTGCTGTTTCTTTTTACAGTCGGTTAATGTATTTATAGTATGTAAAGCAGCGCAAAGTAGAGTCTAAATTGTAGATAAATTCGTAAATAAATATAACTTGCTGCACTAACACTCTTCACGATGTTTCTGATCTCCCTCTTTTCGCTTGCCAGCGTGGAAACAAAGTAATCAACAATGTACACAACTGAACGATAGCGCAATCGACGACACTGGCTGTTTCATATCACGCTGCATTCTCTGTTGACTTTACAATATTAAGAACCAACTACAAACTCTGTATTAAATATAATACGGCGGTGGATTCAAGATAATCCTCAAGTAAGTCTCTAAAGTTCACACAAGAAGAGAAGAGGGGAATTTCTACTCACTCTTTAGTAGAATAGAATAGGATGAACTCGAAGACTACTTGAAATATAAAAATAAATATTCCACCGAATTGTTTAGGTTGAAAACGGATTTAGGATATTGCACAAGAAACAAAATAAAACTACTAAACATTAGGAGACGATAGTTATCTAATCCTAAACGCAAACGTGGCTATTCATCTACGTGCATCTTCTGTTTGCAGACACACGATGTCATTACTGTGAAACGTTGAGTATTGCCACTGAAAATATTTAAATTTGCTTACCCCGCAACTATGATGAAATAATGTACACAATGATTGGAGTTCAAAGAAAATGATATTTTAAAAACAAAACAATGGAACGATCGAATTATTATAGTTTTTCTCCAAACACGTGCATTCTTATCCGGGGTCTAATTACAGTTAAGTAAGTTACAAAGTGAACCAACGATCTCAATGAAGTTCTGTAATTCGCTAAGGGACTTGTAGTAATTACTTACTAAAAGAAAACTTACATGACCAAGATGACATTTTGGCCCCTAGAGAGCCAAAAACTAATCGTGCTGCTAATCCCATCTGATAAAAACTAATATTTTTCCACTTAAAAATAATTGACAGCTTAAACAAGAAAGTAAAAGAGAGGAAAAGAAAGGACAAAAAAGACCGATAGATAGAGATAGAAAGAACAGTGGAATATTTACCGCCGTCTGGTTACCTGGACGTTGTCTTCGGTTATGTGAATCTCTCCGGTGTAGGAGTAATCTACCAGCAGCTGGAGCGCCGTGTGGTCCACGTCGTGGAGTACAACCTCTCTGGCAGCCTTCTCTGCCATGTCATCTGTAAACACATACAGTGTAGGAGTAATCTACCAGCAGCTGGAGCGCCGTGTGGTCCACGTCGTGGAGTACAACCTCTCTGGCAGCCTTCTCTGCCATGTCATCTGTAAACACATACAGTGTAGGAGTAATCTACCAGCAGCTGGAGCGCCGTGTGGTCCACGTCGTGGAGTACAACCTCTCTGGCAGCCTTCTCTGCCATGTCATCTGTAAACACACAATGTAGGAATAATCTACTAGCAGCTGGAGCGCCGTGTGGTCCACGTCGTGGAGTACAACCTCTCTGGCAGCCTTCTCTGCCATGTCATCTGTAAACACATACAGTGTAGGAGTAATCTACCAGCAGCTGGAGCGCCGTGTGGTCCACGTCGTGGAGTACAACCTCTCTGGCAACCTTCTCTGCCATGTCATCTGTAAACATATACAGTGTAGGAATAATCTACCAGCAGCTGGAGCGCCGTGTGGTCCACGTCGTGGAGTACAACCTCTCTGGCAGCCTTCTCTGCCATGTCATCTGTAAACACATACAGTGTAGGAGTAATCTACCAGCAGCTGGAGCGCCGTGTGGTCCACGTCGTGGAGTACAACCTCTCTGGCAACCTTCTCTGCCATGTCATCTGTAAACACACAATGTAGGAATAATCTACCAGCAGCTGGAGCGCCGTATGGTCCACGTCGTGGAGTACAACCTCTCTGGCAGCCTTCTCTGCCATGTCATCTGTAAACACATACAGTGTAGGAATAATCTACTAGCAGCTGGAGCGCCGTGTGGTCCACGTCGTGGAGTACAACCTCTCTGGCAACCTTCTCTGCCATGTCATCTGTAAACACACAATGTAGGAATAATCTACCAGCAGCTGGAGCGCCGTGTGGTCCACGTCGTGGAGTACAACCTCTCTGGCAGCCTTCTCTGCCATGTCATCTGTAAACACATACAGTGTAGGAATAATCTACTAGCAGCTGGAGCGCCGTGTGGTCCACGTCGTGGAGTACAACCTCTCTGGCAACCTTCTCTGCCATGTCATCTGTAAACACATACAGTGTAGGAATAATCTACTAGCAGCTGGAGCGCCGTGTGGTCCACGTCGTGGAGTACAACCTCTCTGGCAACCTTCTCTGCCATGTCATCTGTAAACACATACAGTGTAGGAATAATCTACTAGCAGCTGGAGCGCCGTGTGGTCCACGTCGTGGAGTACAACCTCTCTGGCAACCTTCTCTGCCATGTCATCTGTAAACATATACAGTGTAGGAATAATCTACCAGCAGCTGGAGCGCCGTGTGGTCCACGTCGTGGAGTACAACCTCTCTGGCAGCCTTCTCTGCCATGTCATCTGTAAACACATACAGTGTAGGAATAATCTACTAGCAGCTGGAGCGCCGTGTGGTCCACGTCGTGGAGTACAACCTCTCTGGCAGCCTTCTCTGCCATGTCATCTGTAAACACATACAGTGTAGGAATAATCTACCAGCAGCTGGAGCGCCGTATGGTCTTCGTTGTGGAGTACAACCTCTCTGGCAGCCTTCTCTGTCATGTCATCTGTAAACACACACAGCTAGATTTGGATACAGGAGGTTTGGCGAAGAAAATATGGGCCATTTATCAACAAAGTGAGCAGAATGTGTAAGCTCGATTATTTGCAAGATGTATTTGCCTATAGCCTACTTTATTCATCTTGGATGATTTCGCCATCTCAATTAAAGCTCAATTTCAGATCTCCACTCCCTGAATTCACGCCCTTAAGTATTTTCTTCGATCAACTTCTACTTTTATCTGCACTACTATTCGAGAACTTACCGTTGAACATGGCATAGAAGTATGGACTTGTAGAGGCTAGAACTACTCGATGCGCGTGTATCCTGTCCATTCCCACTTTGAGCGTGACATCGCACAGCTGCAACATAAACATAGTAAGTAGGTTATGTTCGTTTATGTTCAATAGTCTATGTAGTTGACTGTAATATCGAACAAATGCACAAAATGTAATTCTGACATAGTTTTTTTTTTATTGCAGGAAACATTGCATGTTACAAATTTATAATTTTAAAGTGAGATAAATACCTGAATGTTCTGTCTCATGCGGTTGATGGCCGCCAGCGACTCCGAGCAGTGGCCGGGACTCTGGTGGAAGTAGTGACTGATGGGATCCGAGTCCGTGGTCACCGGTGACGTCACCAGCTCCACGCCCCCGCTCATCCTCGCACCTAAAGCCATAGATGAAGTAATAAAGCTATGGTCAAAGAAAGTTATAGTCAAAGTAAGGATTATATTGGGTATAACCTGAGGGAGTTCCGGCCAAAGTAGACTTGATTGTCTACAACATGACGTTCTGGTCAGAGTATGCATGATATTTGCTACAACGATGACATGATCTACTTACGGTATTATTCACAAATTAAAGACTACCTGATCAGAGTGGATACGATACAGCTACAATAAAGACGTTTTGGTTTAGACATCGAATTGGCTAAAACTTGCCGGTAAAAAGAACCTGAAGTAGTAACAATCGAACTAGTAGAAGACAGATATTCTAAACGTTCTTGTAAAAGGAGATAGTAAGCTTACACTAGTATTGGGAAAATGTTTTTGTTTACTTCTTAGACTTGTATAACTATTAGGAGGGGTAACAAACCCTATTTTTACAAATATTTATATTGGATGTTTTGATTGTAAATTACAAAAAAAATATTCAGCTGATTAAATTGATAAACTATAAAGAAAACGACATTCTTCCGTGCAGTCCAAGGCAAAAGTTTACAGTCTGTGACATAGGTTGCTCTTTTTCACTTCCAGAAGATGTGCTATTCACATAACAGATCCCACCGACAGTGCTAGGGAATAAGCTCTACAACCCTTATATTCTGCAATGTACTATATACTATATAAAAACAGGGAAAACGTTACCTATAATTCAGACTTTTTCGGTATGTCTTAGAATGTTGAAATCAATTATTTTACTATGCAATTTTTTATTTATTTCATTATTTTTATTTTAATGTAAATTAGTTAAGCGTATCATATGTTGTAGAATCATGGCAGATGGCTCAAATCAAAGAAATTGAACCTTATAATGGCAAAAAATAATGAAGCTACAACATTTGAGCAAAAAATTGGGTAAAAGGTTAAATATTTGATTAAGAAAAAATTTGATTCTGATCTCTTTACTCATTACAATAATTTAATTTGTATTACGTTTGAGCTTTAGGGAGTTATGTCCCTACCAACCACTTGTTGATCTTATTTTTCGAAGTGCTGGACTCGCAAACAATTGACACGAAGTGCAGTAAAGTAAGGAACGTGAAACTCTCAGGGGATTTGAAATGTACGTGCAACTTTGGCAGAAGGGTGCTCAGCGTCTCTTACAACCCTTCCTGCTTCATCTATACTCGGGCTTCTACGCGGCCGTGCATTAATTGCGCACAAGAGTTCCTTAATTGCGCCAAACCCTCAAAGGGTCCCAAAAAATGTTCATTAGTTGCACCAAATCAAGCCAGGTAGGGGTGAGTTGTGTGTAACCTTTCCTAACCTAACCTAACCTAATTTAATTTAACCTAACCTAACCTAACTTAACCTTAACTAAGCCAACCTAACGTAACCTACTCTTTATACAGTCAAAGAAGGGCCACCACTTTGCGCAGTTAATTAACGTATCGGGTGGCTCCCTGGAGTAGTTGGCGCAATTAAGGAATACTACGACTACCTGACTCAGCTCAGTAGGCGCAATTAATGCCCGCCCTTCTACGCGAATCTTACGTCTCTTCCATGTGATCTACTTTCTCCGATATGTGGACTTTATTTCTCGGACACTATATACTGTACTGTAGATGTTTGGTCTCAAATACTAATATAATCTAATTACTATTACCTATAGTGAGAAAAAGTTGTTCAAAAACTGAACAGTTTTCTGTTAATTAGTTGTCTTTCTTCAATGAAGAATTGATACATTTTAGTGTCCACCTCAGTGGGTATTCTTGTAGTAGTTCAGTATCTAACACTGTTAAACATTTTTTACTATGTGATTTGCAATGCAGCAAGACTATCTGAAAAATTGCATGTTTCAGGAACCCGTATTAATGGTATGAATATCACTTTTAACCATCTAAAATGTACTATAAAATACGTAACATTAATTTGCCCTTATTTATAAAGTTATAGTTTAAAACGTATAATCTATTATGTAACTACAGTTACACAACTATGTAGATCGTTGATTTGAAAATTTAAAATATAATTAGGATATACAAGTATGTTATGATAATCACACTACAGTATTAAGTATGGAAATGAATTAAGTATTCACATTTTCCATAAAAAAAAATTGCCCTTTATATCGAAAAAGTGTAACATCTTTAATATTTGCGTAGAGTTTTGAAGAACTATATAATGTCGATCTCTCTTTCCCGATAGAAAAGGGTAATAGAGGGGGGGGGGGGGTAATCGGTTGATACGGTTATCGAAGGGTTGTAGAGCTCAGAAACACCTGTGTCTTCATTTAATTATTTAAGTTAACGTCCTTTTGGGCCCTCGTTATCTGAATAGCATTGTTATCTTGCCTTCGATTTTCTTGAATCGAACTCAATCGCGAATAACCTGATGTTGATGTCAACCGTTTTGATTTTATCATCGCTTTATCGTTTCGTTTATAATAGATTTCATAAAAAATTGTATAGTTATTGATAACTTTGTGCCACCTTAAAACTTAACTGATGTATTTTCATGAGAATACTATTTTCATTTTTAAAGTGAAATGTTAGTAAATTCATATTGTGGATAGTTGTTTCCAGAAAAGTATCGCTTTGAAAAACTCGTTTAACAAAGTTAAAAGATAGGTTTGTATTTTACCGACTTTGCGGAACAACTTTTGAGTTGTTAAGAAAGAAAAAGTTGGGTCATTGAGACTAACGAATAGACGCTTAGATTATTGATCTGTATCTACCGCTGACTTCCTCTTATAGTGTAAAGGTCGTACATTTCAGATTTGCGTTAACAACGGAAAAGTGTTATTTTATTAAAAATATCTCGCTGTTATATCCATTGTAGTTTGTTCCACCTTTAGGCAGTGTCTCTTTTCGACCTGAACTTAAGTTTAACGAGAAAGTTAAATAAATAAATAAATACCCCCTACCCTCTTTCGACATTTCACCTCTCGACTACAGCTAAGCGAGTGTAACTCTTAAGATGCCTTAATTTTAATAGAGGCATAGGACTCGCAATATATATTTTAATTGTTCATTATACTTGTTGATTGTTCGTTATACAAATCATTGGTTAAACTGAGCCATTCTTCTAGATTTAGCTTAAATTAGTTAGTTAAATTTTACGATTACAACCGTACATAGTTCACCTTTCTCAGCTTAACTTGTTTTAAAGGTAAAAGAACTAAGTTTTTTTATCTTGTTGTTAATGTTGTTCCCTTTATGTTTTCTTATTTATATGCGATCAGCTGTTGTCGTTATTAAAATGTAACATTTTTTACGACGCCCACACATTAGAAGAGTAAATCCACACGCAAAAACGCCTGAAATACTTTTGACAAATCAAGCTCAAGGGTTAGGCGAGTTTGGAAAGTTTCTCGAGTGCAGCAAAGGCAATTTGCACTCGTGTTACACATTATATTTTCCCTGCGGTTATTATAAAGCATAGATATAATTAGTCTTTTAAACACTAAAACCAAACAACACGTTTTAGGTCATGTTAAATCCAAGAGTAGAACGAAAAGGGAAACATTTGAACAGCTGATCGTAGTCGTAGTATCTTTGCCAACCTATTTCCAAGCATACACGGAATACGAGCACAATAAAAGCACGCTCTTTTGTGTTGTTTGGTTGGAATACTGGTGTGCAGGAAAAAAGAGTACGACAAAAGTAAGTAAATGCAGCAATTAACAACTTTCTGTACTACAATCAGTGCAAGGAAGCCCACTTTATCAGTTGACTGTAGGAAAAGAGTATGTTTTATAAAGGAAGTAAATAATAAAGGGATTCCAACATCAGCTGGTTTTGTCGTCAAAACACCCTTTACAAATTGGAAATGTTGTCCACATCGAAGAATGACGTTTCTCGTTTAGTGTACAATTGCTGAAGGCTGAAGGCTCAACCTGCTAGACCTGTATTTGTGTAACACAGCGAATACCTCGTGGTATTAATGAGTCACAAACACTTGTGAATACAACTAATGAGATGAACAGTTCACTGACACCGGCTCTTATCTTATCTTACAACTGCAGTTGCAAACTTATGAGTTAGCACCTCAGTACGCAGAAATACCAAGAGACTTTACTCTGAACTTTCTGACTATAACTTGTTCCTAATTCTGTACTAATACTAAAATCCTAGGAGTGAACTTTTCTAGTGGTAGAGCTCGGGACTTCGGAGCCCGATGTCCTAAGTTCAAATCCCGCCAATCACCAATGGATTTTATCAAGGCCAATAATGATGACTATCCTGAAGTAATGTGTGGGCTAGGTACTAGCGTCCTAGGATGTGAAGGTATTATTATGAAAAAAAAACTACTGAGTGGCTGTATCACTTTGTTCCGCGGTTGAAGGCTAATTTCTTCACATAACTTTTGTTCCGGGGGTCAGCAGGTAGATTTCGGGACCGGCCGAAACATCGTCTTGTTCCGCGAGAGAGGGGGGCTGCACTCTCTTTTCACTCACTTTTCACATTACCTCCCCCAAATCCTCTATTTCACCCTCCTCCTATTTTTCTGTTATGCGGGCTTTAAAACTCGTTCAATTATGATCTTCTCCTTAGCAAAAAAGCGGCACACACTATTGAATAGTTAGTACAAATGTTACCTATTACCTAGTAGTATGTACCTTCTATGTGCCTGTTTGTTACCTACTACGTATCATCTTCCTATTACATAAAAATAATATACTTCATGTCTATTCGATTTCAACTATACAATTTGTTGGTAATTTATTATTAAGACTTTAGCTAACTATCAGCTTCAAAACGCTCAATAATATCATATATGAGTATGTTTAATCTAATATCATTGTACTAACCTTTCTAAAAACAATTTTAACAATCCTTTGGATGATTAACTATTGCAATCTGGTTGTTAATTTTTTTTAGATCCTAAATCGTTTCTGTTGTTCATCGCATTGGTTTAGTTAATATTTGGTTTTGAAAATATAAGTGATTACTGAAAGCAGTCTCAAGAGATTGTTATTTATACACGCGTCTCTTGTAGTTTA